TGCCGGTTGAGCCCGTTTCCTTTTTTCCTGATGGAGCTGTTTGCATCAGTGCTGCTGAACCAACCAGAAACTCGGAGGCTGAGCTGCTGTAGACCAGCTGAAACTGGAGCTTCTGGGCGGTTTTTGGACCCTCTGGAGGGTTTTTGGAGCTTCTGGGTTTTCTTTTAGCATCTGGTGGGTTTTTGGAGCTTCTGGTGGGTTTTTGGAGCTTGTGGAGGCTTGTTGGAGCTCCTGGAGGGTTGTTGGAGCTTCTGGGGGGATCTGGGAGCTTCTGGGGTTTTATTTGAGCTTCTGGAAAGTTTTTTGAGCTTCTGGGGGTTTTTTTTTTTAGCTTCTGGAGAGTTATTGGAGCTTCTGGAGGGTTGTTGGAGCTCCATTCAGGCCCCTGAAACCCTCCAGAGACCCAGATCAGGAAGATTTGGTTTAGTTTGGAGTCACAGCAGGCTGGACTCAGGCTGAGCTGACAGACTTTACAGCTTTCAGCCTCTTTAGAGCGACAGAAAACAGCCCAGACCACCATGCCTCCCCCACCGTGCTTTAAGCTTTGATCACCTCCAGGTTTATCAGCCCCTCTCCCCCCTCCGAACGGCCTTCTAACCACTCCCAGATCAATAGGCAGCTTTTGTGAATTCTTCATTTCTGAGCAGCTTTAATGAGTAAGAACCCAAATATTTTTTTTAACCCTCTGTTGTTGTTTTATTTTTTATTTTTAAGGAGATTCGAGTGTGATGGCTGCAGTCTACGGACCTGCTGAGGTCAAAGTCAGTAAGGAGATCTACGACCGGGCCACGCTGGAGGTGCTGGTCCAGCCCAAAGTGGGCCTGCCAAGTAAGGAGCTCTAACCCTAACCCTAACCCTAACCCTAACCCCCCTTCAGAGGGGGTTAGACATAAACATCCACACATGGACAGCCATGTGTGGGTGTTTATGTCTTTAAAGGGGACGCAGCATTAATTTTAGCTAGGAAAATGTTCTTTTTAGTTTTTATAGCCTTTATATTTAATGTTTAAGCATTTATTATACACTGATATTCAAAGTGACTTACAAGGAAAGGGGGGGCACCAAGAGTTGAACTGGAGACCTCTTGAACTGGAGTCAAATACTCCACCACTTAGCTATTCCCCCCAAAAAAGTATTTTCATACATAATTAGAGACCTTCAAAACACTCATTTAGGCTTGTCCCGATCCG